ACAGACAGACACACAGACACACACACACACACACACACACACACACACACACACACACGTACGTCACAAGATAAACTCACAAGGCCTAGCGGCATAAGCCTGTCCTCTTAGCAACTTGAGAGACTGAAAGTAGGAGAATCACAGATTAAGGGCCTGCCTAGGCTATAGAATGAATTCAAGGCCAGTCTATGTAACTTACTGAGGCGCTGGGAGGGAGGGAGGGACGGAGGGAGGGAAGAAGGGGTCAAGGTCAAAGGTCACTGATAATGACATTTGCCTAGTATGAATGAGGCACTGGTACATATGCAGTACCAGAGAAAATAAATAAAAACTTATGCTACTAAATTTGTGTGCATTCAAAATATGCTTTTAAAAATATTTATCACTAAAATTCATTATAAAGAATGATAATTTTGAAACTTGATATTTGGTATATGAAAATTATATTATTCTAAATTTGGATATGTAATTGAAAGTTTTTTAAAGCATAAAGTTAAAAAAAGCCGTGTGTGTGTGTGTGTGTGTGTGTGTGTGTGTGTGTGTGTGTGTGTGTGTGTGGTGTGTCATACTATCTGTAAAAAGATTCCAAAACAGAAATATTCTGCCTCCACAAAGGTGTCTTTTTTCCCCCACTGTAAACCTATGTTCAGGTTGTGAATTTTCTACCCATATAAACACCTATCAAAAACTGAGTAAGAATGCTGGAGAGATAGCTGATCTTCCAGAGAATCTGGATTCAATTCCTAGCACCCACAGGCAACTCATAACCATCTGTAACTCCAGTTGCAGGGAATTCAATGCCCTCTTTCTGGTCCCTGCAGCCACCAGGCACACAGTAGTACACAGACATACAGGCAGAAAAAAATTCCCATATATGTAAAATAAAAAACATTTTACATACATGCACACGCATGCAGCACGCACGCACGCACTTTCACTTACTTTAACTGAGTAAAGTAGAGGTACGTGGAACACTGAGTTACAAATAAGCCTGGTCTACATAGTGAGCTCCAGGCCAGCAAAGGCTACACAGTGAAACCCACCTCAACACAAACAATTAGGGTTGGGTAAACTGCTCGAAGAGCAATATACTTGCCCCATAACTGTTGTGAGATGATCTTTTTGTACACCCTGAAGATGTGTCTCTGCCTACGGCACCTTCTGATTGGTTTAATAAAGAGCTGAATGGCCAGAGGCTAGGCAGGAATTCCAGCGAGAGAGAGGAACGTGGGAAGAATCTGAGCTGCACAGATTTCTCCTGCCAGACACAGAGGGAGTCAAATAAACAGGATAAGTGGTAAAGAGCCTCGTGACAGAATGTAATTAATAGAAATGTAAGTAATGAGAGCTAGTTGGGAACAAGCCTAAGATAAGGCCAAGCTTTCATAATTAATAATAAGTCACTGTCATTATTTGGGGGCTAGCAATCCAAAGAAAGTTCAACTACACATAACCAGGAAAATCTGAATTCAAATCTCTAGAACATGTTAAAAACCCAGGTACAGTGAAATGCATCTATAATCAAAGGAGAAGCAAAGACAGGAGGATCTGTAGAAGCTCACTAGCTAGCTAGCCTGGCAAACACAGTGACAAAACAACAAAAAGACTCTGTGGCACTTGACCCCGAAAAAGGTAACAACCACAAGGTTGTCCTCTGACCTCTACGTTTGCTGTGGCATGAAAGCCTCTGCACAAGTGCCCTTGGACACACATACACACATGCACACCACACATATACACTGAACACAAACACACAAAAAATAAAAAGGTTAAAACAAAATAAAAACCAATAAAATTTAACAGAGAAAGCTGTGCGGTGGTAGCACACGCCTTTAATCCCAGCACTCAAGAGGCAGAGGCAGGCAAATCTCTGTGAGTTCGAGGACAGCCAGAGCTGTTACAGAGAAACCCTGTCTTGAAAAACAAAAAAACAAAACACAAAACAAAACAAACAACTACCAAAAAAACCCAGTGAAAATAATGTTTAAATAGCCAAGTATGGTGGTGCATACTTGGCTATTTAAACACTCGGAGGCAGAAGCAGGTGGATCTCTGTGAGATGAAGGCCAGCCTGGTCTACACAGAGAAACCCTGTCTGTGGGGGAGGGAGAGGTGTGTGCACGCACACACACAAACACCCACACAGACACACAAACACACATGAACTGAAAGCAATGGTCAGTTTCGAAGTCTATCAGGAGGGGCATAAACCATCAGAATGACCCAACAGGATAAATTAATAAGACTTAGCTCAGTAAAGACACCTGAAGATAAAAGATGAGAGGCCTAGGCTGAGCATAGCAGCACATGTCTTTAATTCCAGCACTGCTCTTCCAGTGGACCTAGGTTTGGGTCCTAAAACCCACATGGTGGCTCACAATCACCCGTAACTATTTCCAGAGGGTCCAGTGCCTTTTTCTGACCTCTTTAAGAAACAGGCACACAAGTGATGCTCATACATAAATGCAGGTAAAACACCCAAACAAAATAAAACAAATTTCAAAAATTAAATACATTAATAAAGGGTTTCTGGATCAAAGCAGCATCAATCACCTAATTCAGAGTCTAAGGACAAACTATATTAACACATTCTATTTACAATTAACTTGTAAGTGATTAAAATATTTAAAATCAGATGTGAGAGTATAGGGCCAGAAAGATGGCTAAGTGAGATAGGCACTTACCACCAGACCTAATGACCAGATTTTGATCTCTGAAACCTACATGTTGGAAGGAGAAAATAGCCTCCTCAAAACTGTCCTCTGGCTTCCCTCCACAAGCAGGCTATGGCAGGGTAGCAAGTACATAGTCATACACACTCATGCACGTACGAATGCAAATTTTTGTTTGTTTTTTCAAGACAGGGTTTCTCTGTGGCTTTGGAGGCTGTCCTGGAACTCGTTGAGATCCGCCTGTCTCTGCCTCCCGAGTGCTGGGATTAAAGACACACACACTCAAATTTTAAGAAAAATATTAAAATGATGTAGATACTCCTCGATGTACAAGTGGTGCACATATATACAGCTCCTTACATACATAAAAATAAGTCTTTAAAAAAAAAATCATCGGCCGGGCAGTGGTGGTGCACGCCTCTAATCCCAGCACTTGGGGAGCAGAGGCAGATGATCGAGTTTGAGAAAGTCACAGAAAAACCCTAGCTGGACCACCCCCCCCCCCATCATCTTCCCAATCCAGGAGTATTACAAGGGAAGAATTTTTGGTTGTCAAAATAGATCCAAGATTAGACATATTTTATCCAGCAGCTTTGCAAGGAACTGTTTTGCAGAGTTTCTCTGTGTAATAATCCTGCTCTCCTGGAACTCTCTTTGTAGACCGGGCTGGCCTCAAACCCTCAGATATCTGGCTGTCTCTGCCTCCAAGTGCTGGGATGAAAGGTGTGCACCATCACTGCCTTTCTTTATTGTAAGCCTCCTGCTTGTGGAGGCTGGAACTTTCTCTATTGTAATGAAGGAAAATTGCAGTTAGGCATGGCATGATGACTCAAAACACTTATAATCTCAGCACTAGAGCCTGAAACAGGGGGCTTGCTACAAACTCCATGCTATAGAGAATTCCAGAGCAGCCTGAGCTACAGAAAGAAACTATCTGGAAAAAAACAAACAAACAAAACAAAAACAACAACAACAAAAAAAACAAAGTTTACTAGTAAGAGCTGCTCAAACACAGATTTTGTTTCTTTGGGAAGGGTTGCTTTGTTTTGCTGAACAGCCTTTCACTTTGTGTCCCAGCCTGGCCTGAAATTCTCAATTCTTCTGTCCCAGCCTCCTGACTGGCTGGAATCACACAAATAGATTTTTGGTGAAGAGTTCCCACAAAAAAATTCTAAAAGCAGATTGGGTTTTCAATAATGTATCAATTATTGCTATAATACTACAATATGGTCTAGCCAATCAGAACAGTTTCTTAACTTCCATCCTACTGACTTTGGGAGTCAGAGTTCTTTATACTAGTAAGCTGTCCTAAGTAATGCTGATTGCTTAGCAGCACCTCTGACCTTTAGATACCAGATAACACAGCACCAACAATTTTAGCTTTGAAAACAAACCAGGTCCCTTTGCCCCCTACAACACAAATATCTACAAGAGGATAAACTCCTCCCAGATGAGAATCATTCTATTAAACAATACTGACATCATTCTGCTCAAGAAATCTGTGGATATTTTGTTCAACAATCTCAACCTTATAAATGAACATGAATACTACTCAGAGGAAGCACTCCACAGGTACAAATGGTTAGCACATGGTATTTACACACCACAGCAAATTAAAACAGTGGTTCCCTTCTGGAGATAGAAGAATGACAAGAGAGGAAGCATAAAAAGATATCTGGGTTCAGTGAGACAGCTCAGCAGGCAAATGAACTTGCTGATAAGCCTGATGACCCAAATTCAATCTCAGAAGGACAGAATCCATTCCCACAAGTTTCCTCTAACCTCCACAAGTATAACATGGCATTTATAGGTGCCTGCCACACAAAATGAATAAATGTAATAAAAGAAAGATTTCTGGGGAGAGGTAATATTTTGTATATCTAGGCAATGTTTTTCTATATGTACATTATATATCAGGGGCTATTTTTAACAAAATTTGAGCTGGGCATTGTAGTGCACACCTTTAATCCAGAAGGAGACAGGAGGAGCTCTGTGAATACAAAGACAATCTAGTCTACATAGTGAATTCCAGGACAATCAGAACTGTATGCGAAACCCCAGTCTCTAGGGGAAAAAAAAAATTATTTTGAAGTATAGAACTGAGGAACCTAAGAAGCAGGGGCTACATATCACATCACTAAAATTTCTTAATGTTTACCCTTGAAATTCAAGACAGTGGCAGTATTCTGGTCCTCCCTTTCTTTATCCATACAGCTCCAGTTACCTACTCTTTTTTTTTTTTTTTTTTTTTTTTTTTTTTTTTGGTTTTCGAGACAGGGTTTCTCTGTATTGTTTTGGAGGCTGTCCTGGAACTAGCTCTTGTAGACTAGGCAGGTCTTGAACTCGGAGAGCTGCCTGCCTCTGCCTCTGCCTCTGCCTCCGGAGTGCTGAGATTAAAGGCGTGTGCCACCACCACCCAGCTACCTACTCTTTTTCATACAAGAAGATTTTTAGCTGGGCAGTGGTGGTGCATGACTTTAATACCAACACTTTGGAGGCAGAGGCAGGTGGATCTCTTTGAGTTTGAGGCTAGCCTGATCTACAGAGTGAGTTCCAGGACAGGCTTCAAAGCTACAGAGAACCATCTCGAAAAACAAAAACAAACAAACAAAAAAAATTTTGATGATCTCATCAGCCAGTATCAACTATCCTGCTCGTCTTTAAAAAGAAGGGGGGGGGCGATTTAAAACTAAACCTAAAAAAGCACCTCTCAAAACAAGAAGTAGATTCTACATTTTAACAGCAAAGTAAAATAAAGGAGACAATATAAAACAGTGGTTCTCAACCTTCCTAGTGCTATAACCCTTTAACATAGTTCCTCATAACCACAAACATAAAATGATCCCATTGCTACTTCATAACTGCAATTTTGCAACTGTTATGAATCCTCATGTAAATATACTTAATATTCAGGATATCTGATATTTAGACCATCAAAGGGGTCGAGATCCACAGGTTGAGAACCACTGACCTAAAGCAAAATGGAAACTAAAAAGGAAAACAGACTATGCAAAGACCTTGAGAACTAGAAGTATTGTCATCAGCAACTGAAATATTAACTTTTGAGGAATTCAGAAAAATCATGTTGTCCTATCTATACATTCATAAATTTCATGCCAGGCATAGTGACATACATCCCTTTAATCCCTGCACTCAGGAAGCAGGGGCAGGTGGAACTCTTTGAATTCTAAAACAGCCAAAGACTCTTCTCAAATAAAAAAAAAATTCCCAAACACCCATGATTTCTTTTTTTTTCTGCTAAAGACTTCAACTTTATTGAATTAAAAAAAAAAAAACCTTACAACTGATAAAGCAATTAGAACAAAACTAGTAGCTAGAGGACTATAATTTAAATAACACAACAAAAACCCCAATTGTACACTTGGTTTGACCAAATCTGCATGTCCTTCCCATCTTCACAATTCGGCTTTATAGGTGACCATCTACTGCAGGAGAGAGAAGTTCCAATGTGACATAACAGGTCCCTTTTCTGCATCCTAGAACAGGAAACATTACCAGAACTAAAGCTTCTCTTTACAGTGTTGAAACAGCAAAAAAAAAAATACTTCAAGCAGTTTTAATTCTTTCCAGTGGAGCCGAAACCTCCTGAGCCCCTTTCAGTGTCATCCATTGTTTCAACTTCTTCTAAGTTCAGATAAAAAATCCGTTCACAAATGAGCTGTGCAATTCGATCACCTTTTTTTATTTCAAACTTCTCTTTTCCAAAGTTAGACAGCCCAACACCAACATTCCCTCTATAAACTTCATCTATGACACCGGCTCCTACATCTGTGAAGTGCTTTACTGCCAAGCCAGACCATGGAGTTACTCTTCCATAACACCCAGAAGGAACAGCTATCTGAATGTCTGTTTTCAGAATGGCTTTCTCCATAGGCGGTATTGTATATTCATAGGCACTGTAGCCCACAGCACGGGCGGACCCGAGCGTGGGAGCTGTGGCGTGCTCCGAGAGCCGCAAGAAGCACAGAGAAAGGCCATCCTCGGCCCAAGTCTTCATGCTGATGGAGCCGGCGACAGCATCTTCCAAGCAGGGCATGGTGGCAAACGGTGAAACGCAGAGTGTCCACCCATAATTTCTTAAGCAAAAGAGCAAAAGCACTGGCCTTGACGTAAAAATGCTTTGCATCTGAGCTAGAAAAATGGCTCAGTGGTTAAGAGCACTGTTGCTTTTCCAGAGGACCAGGGTTCAATTCCCAGCACCTACAAGGCAGTTCACAACTGTCTGTAACTCCTGTCCCAGGGGATCTGAAATCCTCCTACAGCCATATTTGTAGGCAAACTATCAATGTATATAAAATAAAAGTAAATTACATTGAGCTGGAGAGATGGCTCAGAAAAGCACTGGATGCTCTTCCCCAGGTCCTGAGTTCAAATCCCGGCAACTACCTGGTGGCTTACATTCATCTATGATGAGATCTGGCACCCTCTTCTGGCCTGTAGTATACATGCAGACAGAACACTATATACATAAATTAAATTAAGCTTTTAAAAATAAATAAATAAATTACATTTTACATATGCTTTGTATTTGTAGTATTGGGACATGATCTACTACTAAGCTACATCTCCAGCCCTGTTCATTGCTTTTTTTTTATGAATTTTTTTTTTAAGATTTGTTTATTTATTATGTATACAGTGTTCTGCCTGCATATATGAAGGCATACCAGAAGAGGGCACCAGATCTCATTACAGATGGTTGTGAGCCACCATGTGGTTACTGGAAATTAAACTCAGGACCTCTGAAAGAGCAGTCACTGCTCTTAACCTCTGAGCCATCTCTCCAACCTTGTTCATTGCTTTTTATATCCAAAGTAGCTCTGCTATGATTCCGTTTTGCTACCTCATTTTCTTTTTCTTTTTTTGTTGTTTTTTGTTTTTTCAAGACAGGGTTTCTCTGTGTAGCCTGGGTTGTCTGGGAACTCTCTTTGTAGTTCTGAATGACCTTGAACTCACAGAGATCCACCTGCCTCTGCCTCCCTGAGTGCTGGGACTAAAGGCCTGACTCTCATTTTCTTTTTATCTCAACATTTAACTTTCATTTGCATTTAATATTGTTACTAGTGATAATGACATTGTGTATTGACAAATTATACATAGCTCCTCTATGAAAAATGTTTATTTCATATCATTCCAAACAATAGGTCTTGAGAAAGATAAAATTATGTCATAGCCAAGGGCTATGCCTAGCACATACAAAAGTTTAGGTTTCATCCTCAGCTTAGCATAAGCCAGGCATGGTGGTAAATTTCAAGGCTATATAAGTAAAGTAGAGTCAAGAGGATCAGTGTTATCCTCAGCCAGCATGGGATTCATCTTTTTATTTTTCTAAAACTATAGGGTAGAGTAGATATTCACAAGTGGAGGCCAGATTGACACCTATTTTAAAATTCCAAAATCATGGAAGAATCAGGGATGAAATGAGACAGCTTTGCTGATAAAGTGCAGTATAGTGGATTGAACCCAGAGCTTCATGCTTGCTAGATGCCCTAATTAGGCTTACTATTGCTGTGATAAAATGCCATGACCAAAAGCAAGTTGAGGAGGAAAGGGTTTATTTGATTTACACTTCCACTGTTCATCATTGAAGAAAGTCAGGGCAGAAACCTAGAGACAGGAGCTAATGCAGAGACCATGGAGGGGTGCTGCTTACTGGCCTGCTCAGCCTGCTTTCTTATAGAACCCAGGACTTCTAGCCAATGATAGCACAGCACCACCCTCAATGGGCTGGGCCCTCCTCCATCAATCACTACAGCTCAATCCAATGGAAGCATTTTCTTAATTGAGGCTCCCTCCTCTCTGTGACTTTAGCCATGTCAAGTTTGCATAAAACTAGGCAGCATAATTGACCCCATATCAACTTGATACACAAACACATCACTGTTAAATCGACAACCTTTCTTTTCTTTTTCACCCCCCCCCCAAATCACACATTAATAAACTTTAAAAAGTCCCACAGCCTTACAAACTCAAACCACATGACTTTAATCCCAGCACTCATGAGGCAGAGGCTGGTGAAATCTCTGTGAGTTCCAGGCTAGCCTGGTCTACAAAGTGAGTTCCAGGACAGCCAGTGCTGTTACAGAAAGAAAGAAAGAAAGAAAGAAAGAAAGAAAGAAAGAAAGAAAGAAAGAAAGAAAGAAAGAAAGAGGGAGGGAGGAAGAAGAAGTTACATCTTTAAAACTATCCAGCCTCTTTTAAAATCCAAAGTCTCTATAAAACTACAAAATCTTTTTTGTTTGTTTGTTTGTTTGTTTTGTTTAAAGTTTAAATTCTCAACATGCGTTGGTGGGTGGCGCACACCTTTAATCCCAGCACTCGGGAGGCAGAGGCAGATGGATCTCGGTGAATTAGAGCAAGTTCCAGAACAGATTCCAAAACAATACAGAGAAACCCTGTCTTGAAAAACAAACAAACAAATAAATAAATGTTTAAATTCTCTCAACTGTAGGTTCCTGTTAAAATAAAAAGTAATACTTCAAAGGAAAGAACCAGGGCACAGTCACAATCTGAACAAAGCAAAACCAAACACCAATTGTATAAATAACTCAATGTCCAGTGTCTAGGTTTCACTCACAATCTTCTGGTCTCCTTCAAAGGGCTTGGATCCCTTCTCTGGCTCTGCCCTCTGAAGCACATACATTTGTCTTCAAAGCTCAGGTAGGCTCTACTCCACCACCACTGACACTGCTCTTGGGTGGCCATCCCATGGTACTGCCATCTCTAAAATACTGGGGTTTTCCACTGTAAATAGGCTGCACTTTCACCAATAGCCTCTCCTGGGCTCTCTTCATGGTGCCAAATCTCAAATTCTCTACATGACCCCTTCAATCCTGGGCCTTTGACTGCTACTGAGATTTTTACCTTCATCAATGGCCTTTCCTGCCAGGCGTTGGTGGCGCACGCCTTTAATCCCAGCACTTGGGAGGCAAAGGCAGGCGGATCTCTGTGAGTTCGAGACCAGCCTGGTCTACAAGAGCTAGTTCCAGGACAGCCTCCAAAGCCACAGAGAAACCCTGTCTCAAAAAACAAATCAATGGCTTTTCCTGGTCTCACATAGTGCCAAGCCTCAGCTGTTCTCCATGACCTGTTTTTGCTTTCAAAACCAGTACCACCTGGATAACTCTTACAGTACCAAGCTCCACTGCCAGGGTGAGGTACAACCTTGGCCACCTCTGGAACACAACTTCTGCGTGCTGACTCTGAGAAAACACTTCCAAGTGGATTTTACCTCCATGAAGTTGGTCTCTTTTTTTTGTTTGGTTTTTTCAAAACAGGGTTTCTCTGTGGCTCTGGAGGCTGTCCTGCAACTAGTTCTTGTAGACCAGGCTGGTCTCAAACTCACAGAGATCCGCCTGCCTCTGCCTCCCAAGTGCTGGGACTAAAGGCGTGCACCACCACCGACCTTCGAGGTTGGTCTCTTCTTAATCACCACTAATTTCTCAGCTCTAGCTGATTGGCATTAATTGTCCCAGTAACACACAAAGGTTTTACTTAAATGATGCTGGTCTCAGAGCCGATTCTTCAGCTCCAGCTGACCAGAGACAACAGATTCTTCACAGAAATAACTTGGTAGATAGAGCCTTGCTTCCCTCTAAAATGTCACAAGCCAGGCCTTCATCCACTACATTTCTCTCAACATTCATATTTCCCAAGCTCCCATAGAACAACTCACTAAGCTTTGAACACTCAATGGCTTTTCTAAGCCAAAGTTCCAAAGTTCTTCGACAATCCTCCCAAAAAACATGGTCTTCAACAGCAATACTCCACCATCCTGGTACCAGTATCTGTCCTAGTTAGGGTTACTATTGCTGTGATAAAACACCATGACCAAAAGTAAGTTGAGGAGAAAAGGGTTTATTTGGCTTTTACTTCCAACATGACTGTTCATCATTGAAGTCAGAGCAGGAACTCAAATAGGTCTATTGCTTACTGGCTTACTCCGAGTGGCATGCTTAACATGCTTTCTTACAGGACCAGAGGAGGTATCACCCACAATGGGCTGGGCCCCCCCCACCAATTACTTTAATTAAGAAAATGTTTTGTTTTGTTTTGGTTTTTGGTTTTTCAAGACAGGGTTTCTCTTTATTGCTTTGGAGCCTGTCCTGGAACTTGCTCTGTAGACCAGGCTGCCTTCGAACTCACAAAGATCCACCTGCCTCTGCCTCCCGAGTGCTGGGATTAAAGGCATGCGCCACCAATGCCCCGCTAAGAAAACGTTTTACAGCCAGGGGTTGGTGGTGCACGCCTTTAATCCCAGCACTCGGGAGGCCGAGGCAGGCAGATCTCTGTGAGTTAGAGACCATCCTGGTCTACAAGAGCTAGTTCCAGGACAGCCTCTAAAACCACAGAGAAACCCTGTCTCGAAAAAAGAAAAAAAAAAAAAAAATGTTTTACAGCCTTGTAAGCAACCAATCTTATGGAGGCATTTCCTCAAATAAGGTTCCTTCCTCTCAGATATTTTAGCTTGTGTCACATTGAAATAAAACTAGCCAGCACACCAGACTGAGCTACATCACCATGGAAAAAGGGGGTGGGGAAACAGACGATTAAGTGTCAACTATACACACACAAAAACCAGTGCTCAGATCCACAGCACCAACGTAAAAGCTGGGTCACAAGCAGCAGCATAAATATGTAACTCTAGCTGTGGTAGTGGAAGGTTGGGGGAGACATAGGACAAAGGATGCGGGACAGATAGACGGGATCCCTGGAGACAGGCCAGGCAGGTTCAATGAGACACCCTATCTCAAAAACATGAAGAGCAGGAAGGCCTTACCCTTTCTGAGGAGTGGATGGGAGGAGGGGTAAAAAGGAGTTGGGGGAAGGAACGGGGAACAGGAGGATAGGAAGGAGAGGAAACAGTGGTTGGTATGTAAAATAAATCTTAAAAATTTAATTAAAACTTTTAATAAAAATTAACACAGAAGGACATGCCTTTAATCCCAGCACTCGGGAGGCTGAGGCAGTCGGTGAGTTCGAGGCCAGCCTGGTGTACTGATTGAGTTCCAAGACAGCCTCTAACGCTACAGAGAAATCCTGTCTTGGGAGCTGGAGAGATGGCTCAGCAGTTAAAAGCACTGACTGTTCTTCCAGAGGTCCTGAGTTCAATTCCCAGCAACCACATGGTGGCTCACAACCGCCTTGAATGAGATCTACATGCAGGCAGAAGACTGTATACATAAAAAATAAAATCTTAAAAAAAAAAAAAGAATTAAAAAAAAAAGAAATCCTGTCTCAAAAAAAAAAAAAAGGAAGGAAGGAAAGAAAGAACAAAGAGAAGAAAGTAAGGCTTAAAGATACCAAGTGACTCAACTAAGATCATACAAATTGTAGATGAACCCATACTCCACCTTTTGACGGGGCATCTTCTAAATTTATGTTCTAAACAGAGAAGTTCATTTATGCAACAAATGTTCCTGAGTATCTTTTAGAAAACAGCACTTTAGGTACTCAAAGTCTATTGCTTTTTAAACTTTGTGTTTTGTTATTATACGTGGATGCTTTGTGGGCATGAATGTCTGTGCACTATGTGCATGCAGTGCCCATGGAAACCAAAAGAGGGCATCAGATACTCTGAGACTATAGTTACAGACAGTGGTGAACCACCTAAAGAGTTCTGATAATTCAACTCAGCTACT